CTGTCCCTCTTCAACGGCATCAAATCTCTTGAAATCCTTCACTACGATGTCTCCCAGTCTAGACTTACGACCCTCAAGGATCTCTGTACTTTCCTGGAAGCCATTAGCCCCCACAAGCCCAGCCTGGTAGAGCTCCGGATTACAGCAAAACACCTGTTCAGCTACGACCCGGTTCAGTTTGACAACCTGCCTCCTCTGGATACCCCCTGTTCATTGGCAGAGTATCCCAACCTCACCGTTCTCCAGATCCCGGGGATTTTCTTCTGCTCGGCCTCTCGGCCACCAGTCAAGAGCATCCTGCCTCCGGATGTGAAGAATCTGGTGCTTGGATGCTGCACGGCTGTTCACGATGCGCGGGCTGTTGTGGGGACCATGATGTCCGTCCTTATTGAGATTGATCAACATATGCCGAGATTAAAGATTGATATTGCATAGGAATGGGGATTATGTAGCAGGGCGCGGAAAGTAGAACTCAGTGGGTGGGACCCAGAAGATGGGACTTAGTCTGCCGGTCTTTGTGTGAGCTTTGTTATGGGGATTCTTGTACATGATACTCAGTCTTGTTCAGGCGTGGAGGATGCTTGCTGGTCTTCTGTTTTTCCTGTCTATTGCTATCTTGGAATACGTGGTGGACTTTTCTTTGGATGTCAAGTAAATCAGGCAGAATACAGGTTGATAGTTGCGTTCTGGCTCTTCTCATGGGGAGAATGAGGGCAAGCCTACAAACCAGACTACAGTGTCGGATGATAAGCTATTCACTTCTTCACACTATCTATCTTTATGAAGCCTAAACAGCACATGCAGGCTAACTTCGCCATGTGCGTCACAGTCTCCATTGAACCACTTTATTGATTTTCCGTACTGTGACGTGAGCCCTTATAAAAGCCTCCTTCAGAGCCGTCACTCTGCACCCGCCGGCAGCCTTACCATTCCAGCCTGCCAGCTTTGTGTCCTGGCTTCATTATTTCCAACGTCAACTGTATACTGCACCATCTTTATTGTATAGGTATTCTTGTCTTGTTTCTTGTTCTATTACTCTCCGCCAGAACTCCCAACATGTCGTCTCACAATTCCAATCCACGAGGACTCCCCAACGAAATCCTCCTCATGATATTCGAGTTCGTGGCAGCCGATCAAGAAGCCTACGTCCGTCAGGATGAGCCCGTGTCCTACGATCGTTCCCTGTCCCAGCGGACCCTGCAATCCCTGGTTGCGACGTGCCATCGGTTCAAAGACCTGGCTTGGCCGTTGCTCTACCGCTGCATCTCGCTCCCTTCTCCCGCTCAGCCGCGCCGATTATTCCAGACATTGAATCAAAATTCATACCTGGCCGACAAGGTCCAAGCCATCCTTTTCTTCGAGCAGAAGGAGTACCCCGCTGTCTCCCACATGCCGATCAGGCCGGAAGAGCCCAAGAAAAACTGGCTAGTCAACGCATTGTCCTTCGTGAACTGGTTAATCGAACGACAAGACGGACCGCGTCTCTCCACGCTATCCGACCATCGCAACGCCCACGAGGCAGCCAACGCCGTCCGGGAACTCCTCGTCCTCCTCATGTCTCTCCCCAACCTCAGGCTCCTCCGGTACGCAGGGCTCGAAACCGACACCGTCTTCCACATGATACTGCGCACGGCCATGTTCAAGATCGCAAACGAACCCCCGGGCCCCTTCACGCGCGACTTCCTCCACGCAACAGAAGAACTCCACGTCTCCGGCTTCCAGGCAAATGAATGGTGCCACTTGGTCTCAACCCACGCCCTCGCCGCCGTCCCCAGCCTGCGGGCCTTGCGCATATCCTACCCCTTCCGCCGTCTCCGTCCTGCCCATTTCCCACACCCCCGGCTGCCCGCAACGTCCGGAGACGGCATCCCATCCACAATCAGAGACCTGCGCCTCTCAGGTCCGTTCCATCGAACCACCGATATCGAAAAGATCCTCCGTCGGACGCAAGCCCTGGAGATCTTCCACTGGGATATCCCCATGAACTCCTATCACAGACTCATCGCTTGTCTCCCCGGATTCAAACGCCTCGTCCACAAGCACAGGGAAACTCTCACGGAGCTCCGGGTCAGCGCAAAATACGGTCCCGGGGGTATCATGCAGCCCAACACCAACACCGACCCCGATACCTGGTCCTGCTCCTTCGCTGCATACTCACGCCTCCGCATCCTTCAAGTTCCCGAGGCGGTCTTCTATCTGCATGCCCCGCTGCCTGCGGATCTCCGTCTGCGCGATCTTCTCCCGCCAAACGTTGAAGTTTTCATCTTGCATACCCGGGATGCCCGAACGCATGTGTCTTGGTTGATGGAGCGCCTGGCGATGGACGAGGCTGCGAGCTTATCGAGTTGTCTGAAGAGAGTGGTGGTGAAGGAGGACATGGCGAGTTTTTTTGACATCGGTGCTAGGTCAGATCTGGGTCGTGCGGCTGAGTTGTTTGCGGATTGTGGTGTTGCTTTTGTGCATGAGGGGGTCTAGTCTAGGTACCTTAGTGTGCTGAGGCGGCGGTTTTGGAGGTTAGGGAGGTAGGGAGGTAGGTATTTTTTGGGCTTATGGGTTATTTTTCCAGTGTCCTTGTGTCCTTGTTGTATCTGTTGAGTTTCAAGGGGAAAAAAGAGAGAGAGAGAGAGAGGTGGAAATCAGGAAAGACAAAGGCTCAGGTATCAATAGATTGCTATCCACTTCTTCCTTTGTCATAACCCCTGTCCTCGACACACGTTAAGATATGTCGGTGCCAGTTCGCATGTTGTCCAGGTGCAGTGTAGTTATCTTCATGCAACGGTAGGGCCAATAAGTCACGTGCTGTGTCTTTTCAAGTTCCCTTCCAGTTCCGCAGAGTGGACTGCAGATCACAGCAACCTCTGATCAACACCTGTAAACACCACCACACGGATTGGCCATTCTGCTTTTCTTTCAGCTTCATACTTTCGAATCCCCGGCAGTCAGTTTAAAATCTGGACGGTTGCGGCATCTCTCTCCTTTCAATCATAGCCGCACCCCGGTCAGGAAAATCCCGGCACGCTCGGGCTTTCGCTGAAATCAAGCGCTTTCTACCTTGGCTTTTGCTCCAGCAGACTTACTTCAGGTTTTCTGTTTTACAGCTGGTCGTACTTCCGAAGAGAAATCAGGGACGTAGACCTCCATCCGTAGCTGAAGCGAACCTGTGCAGCTTTTGCAGTAGCACGTGACCCAGGACAGAATCCATGCGGCTTATCATCACGTGCTGGCCACCACGAATCCACTGCTCCGCGATAAGAAAAAAAAACTGGACCGGCGCGAAATCATCAAGATTCCCGCCGTTGACCCCGACCGCCGAATTCCACAGCACACCACACACGATGGGCAAAGCCGAGCGAAAGAAGAGCGCCAGGGCCTCTGCCGCGTCTCCGTACCAGAAACCCTCCAAGGGCGGCGGCGGCGGCGGCGCTCTAGGCAAGGCCGGCTCGACCATCTTCAAATTCAACACGGACATCGGCCAGCACATTCTGAAGAACGGGGCGATCGCGGACAACATCGTCGACAAGGCGAATGTGCAGCCCAGCCAGACGGTTCTGGAGGTCGGTCCGGGGCCGGGTATCCTGACGTCCAGGATCCTGGATAAGGCGAAGAAGGTTGTTGCGGTGGAGTTGGATCCGCGGATGGCGGCCGAACTCACGAAGAAGGTCCAGGGGACGCCGCATGAGAAGAAGCTGCAGATCGTGCTGGGGGATTTCATCAAGACGGATTTGTCCAAGTTGCCGGCTTTTCAGGTTGTTATTAGTAACACTCCTTATCAGGTACTCTCTCTCTTTTTTCTCTCGTGCAACAGTGTCTGGAGTGGAGGGTCGCGCGCTAACGGTCAAACTAGATCTCCTCCCCCCTCATTATGAAGCTTCTCGCCATGCCCAATCCCCCGAAAATGGCCGTGCTCATGGTCCAGCGCGAATTCGCTCTCCGGTTGATCGCTCGCCCCGGCGACGCCCTGTACTCCCGTCTCTCCGTGAACGTGCAGTTCTTCTGCAAAGTGTCGCACATTATGAAAGTCGGCCGGAACAACTTCCGCCCGCCGCCGCAGGTCGAGTCCAGCGTGGTCCGCATCGAGCCCAAGACCGGCCGCCCCGAGATCAGCTGGGACGAGTGGGACGGGATGCTCCGGATCTGCTTCGTGCGGAAGAACAAGACGCTGCGCGCGGGTTTCATGACCGCGGGGATCCGGTCGATGCTGGAGCGGAACTGGATCACCTATGTTTCGATGAATCCGGACAAGGTTGCGCCGGGGGATCTGGATATGTTGACGGGGAAGACACCATTCCCGGAGAAGTTTGCCGGGAATGGGAAAGAGGACGACGTCGATATGGATATGGCGGATGACGCGGCGCCGATCAGGGACGACGACGACGTGGATATTTTCATGGGCGAGGGAATGAATACGGAGAAGACGACGGCCGCGACGGCAGCTCAGAGCGGGCCGATTATCACGGTGGCGGGTCACCAGGTCGCGAGGAATATGGTGACGAGGCTGATCCAGGTGAAGATCGAGCGGATCTTGGACAACGCGGGGCTGTTGAATGCGCGTGCGCAGAAGTGTGATGAGAATGACTTTCTCCGGCTGCTTGATGGGTTTAACAGTGAGGGGATCCATTTCTCATAGCGGAGTGAGCAGTAATACAGTCACGCATACTCATACTTTCTGCTTGGGTTCCCGTTAGAGTGGTGCTGGACACTGCTCTTCTTTGCGCTGACACTGACGCCTTTGCACTACCGCAGCTGCCGTGGTTGCGGGTTAGAGATAATGATGAAAAGTGGTCTATTTATACCTCAGCGAGTGAATAGAATCTATGCCGTTAATGATCTGCATTGCCTGAGCATGACCATATAAGAGTATGAGTAAAAGAAATATATAATCCAGCATTGTTCCTACTGCCCACCAAACATTCCATCCACCACCACCACCACCATAAACAATCAACACCCCCTCGTCCCTGATTCAAGACCAAACCAAAGAAAATTCATCAAAAAGAAAATGACAAGGGTGGGATTCGAACCCACGCCAAATTAATGACGCGGAAACCTGAGCGTCTCAGAGAAACGTCTTCAAGATTATTATCAAGGTTTAACCTTAACCGCGCGCCTTAGACCGCTCGGCCACCTTGCCGGGAAAGAAAGAAGAAACAATGGGATGAGCCGGGATTGAACCGGCGACCTCTAGATATACCATAAGATGGGAACCGAAGTTGGATCTTCAGTCTAGCGCTCTCCCAACTGAGCTATCACCCCGTTGTTGGAAAGCTGGGTGGGAATTGGTTAGTTGAGAGGGTGGGGTGTACCGTACTCTGTAGTGTGGGTGGGTGAGTGGGTATAGGGCTTGGAGGGCACGTGTGCGGCTGTTGGTGGGTACGGGTACCTTATGAATATGGTAGGGGCTTCCCAGGGCTGGGCTAAGGGCAGGGCGAGGGCTATTCGGGCTGTTTGCATAGCCTAGGTAAGACAATGAGTGAATCAGTCTGCTGTATGTGAAAGAGCTTTGTCTGTCTATACAGTAGGCAATGGATTTAGTTTCTTGGCTTTGTTTCCGCTGTCACCCCCGTATCCCCGGTTCCAGACTGAGTCAAAGACATTGTGAAGATGATGAATTGCTGTGAATATGCACTCTTCAGCTTATAGCGTGTGATAGGCTTTGCTGTAGCGCCTGGACAGATCTCTTACAGCCTGTAAGTTCCTTGTGCATAGCCCTAAGTTAGCACTGGCTTTGATGCTAGACTTGGTTGTCTCTCAAATCTCAATGAATCCCAGGAATAGGCACCACTTGTAAAGCCCCATAGCCTATTCATAGGCACTGCGCTGGTCACTCGGCTCCTAATTCCTTATCCGTAGCCCCTTAAATTACAGATGTCTTTGTGATGCCCAACCTGAGATGCTGTATCTGAGTCCCCCATCCAGCGCTAACAATGGCATCACACATCCATCTATCCTTAGACCAACCCTCTTTATTCAACAAAGGACACTGTCCACTAGCGATCTTTGGCATAGGAATCATGCCTACGGGCCTTCCCCGTCGAGGACATAAAAGGGGGCCCAATCCCCCCGGTGACACTGTTCTCTTCCTCCTCATCCTAAGGATATAACCTGGCTTAGCACTCAATTCTCCCTCATACCCCAGACCCTTCTGTACTGCTCACAATTCGCTTCCGAACATCGATACTATAATCATCAAGTATCCAGACAGCAAGCTTCTCAATCCCGTCCCGTCAGACTGAACCGCAGTTCTCCCCAACAACTACCTTGCTCAGCAGTGAACTGGTTCCGGTATCTCACACCTACGAAACACTCCCTCAAGATGACTCCGCAGTCAAGCATGGCCACACTCCGGCGGCGCGTCTCCCTCGCCGCGGGGACGGTATTCAAGCGCATCTGCAGTGTATGCCGCAAGGCGTACACCGGGACGTCAGACGATTGCGAATGCGAAGACTGGTCGTTTCCCTGATCTATGAGATCAAACGGTCCTGGCTTCGCCATTCAGTATGCAGGCTACAGCCCATGTGCTGGCTCAGTCAACGGTGAGGCTGACTTGAGTGCCTGATTTCATCTTGGTAGTCGGTTTCCAGAGTGCCAGTTCAACCCGGTCAGCGTCGCGACGATGGGGCCTCCCGCAAGAGAGAAGACGCCCCTATCTTCTCACAGACTAGAAAATGACGTTACTTGCGTCGTGAGGTTGAAGTCGTCGACACTCGGGTTTTTCTTCCTGTTTGATTCATATAGTGAGAAATATTTCTACATAGTCGCATCTGACTGCAGTCTCTCTCTTATATTCGAAGCCCTAGAGAACAAAGGTCTTTGGTAGTTTCAAAGGCCGAACAATGGTATTTCTTTCATTATTTATCTCTATCTCGTAGGTAACCCTGTATAGTCGTTGAGGTTTAGACTGCGCATGCCTTTGTTCAACGTCTGTGTACGACAGCACCACCAGAATGCCCTTTCAGCACTTGTAGTTGGACCAGGGTAGTCTTTCTCTTAACGCTTCTTGTCAAAGGAGGATTCACGATTCAGACTGGCCATTGTGAGTCGGACTGGCTTCTTTCACGTTTGCAAGGTCATTATTTTCAGTTTTATATAAACTGCAGATTGCGAGAATGTAGACCTGGAGAGGTATCTGGCTACACTCACCTTGTTGTCTCTGTCTGTTAACAGCATCTAACTGATCTCGTCAACTCTCAATCGTTCATCTACAATGCGGCACATCTTCTGTCTTACCATCCTGCTGCCTCTGGCGCTGACCTCTCCTCATGTCGAGCCCTATGTGGGTTTCATCCTTTCCATGGCCATGCCGGTTTTCGCCTTCGTGGCAGCCATGAGCCGCACTGTTGTGCAAGACAAGGTACAGCTGCTTTTCAGGCATCTCTACCGCTACGTCTGCCATGAGAAGTGCCGTGCCTGGCTGATGCGCTGCGAGTGGCAGTTCCTAAGCATCTCTCCTATCCAACTGCTACGCATCTGCAAGTCACTGGGAATCCTCAAGGCATGCTCCATCATATACGCTCTGACGCCGAGCAGTCTCACCAGCCTGGCTAAAGCCCTAACAGGACTCCTGCCAACCACTCTCCACGACCTCGCCGCCCGCATCGTCGCAGACCGCACCTCGACGCTCTTCGTCTCCCTCTTCATCTTCCGCTGCCTCCGTCTGATCGTCCACCTCATCTCCTTCTGGCTCCTCTACCGCCCAACCCCAATCCCCACCCACCCAACCATCCGCCCCCGCGACTGCACCGTCATCCTGCCCACCGTGGACCCCCAGAACCCCGACTTCGCCGAATGCCTGACCTCCTGTCTGCAGAACCAACCCGGCGCAGTGATCATCGTCACGGTAGGCCCCGAGCTAACCACCCTCACCAAACAGATCATCGCCCCCTACAAGCTCCGCTTCCCTCTCACCACTCTCAGCGTGAAAACCGCCCGCCTCGCAAACAAACGCCACCAAGTCGCCCACGGCCTGCACCACGTCCACACCAAGATCACCATCCTGCTCGACGACCACGTCTTCTGGCCCTCCCCCCGCTTCCTACAGACCCTCATCGCCCCCTTCGAAGACCCGCAGGTCGGCATCGTCGGTACCAACAAGCGCGTCCGCCGCACCGACACGGGCCTCAACGCCAAATCCTTCTGGAACATGCTAGGCGCCCTGTACCTGGAGCGACACAACTTCGAGATCCGGGCCACGAACGCCCTCGACGGCGGCGTCTTCGTCGTCTCGGGCCGCACCTCCGCGCACCGGTCCTCGATCCTCACGGACCCGAACTTCCTCCACGCCTTCACCAACGAGCGCTTCTTCTTCGGCAAATTCGGGCCCCTCAACGCCGACGACGACAACTTCATCACCCGCTGGAACGTGACAAATGGACACAAGATCAAAATCCAATACTCCCCCGACGCCCGCATCGAGACCACCCTCGGCACATACCCGAAGTTCCTCTCGCAGTGTCTCCGCTGGGTGCGCACCACCTGGCGCAGCAACTCCGCCGCGCTCTTCACCGACCGCACCGTCTGGTATCGACAGCCGTGGTGCGTGTACGCGGTGTACGTCTCCTCGTTCGTGAACTTTGCGCTCTTCTACGACGCCGCCTTGATATATACACTCTTGCGAAGCGATCTAGCCCGTGATACGCCGTACGCGCTCACTTATCTGGTGCTCTGGATCTTCGTCTCGAAAATGGTAAAGCTGACCCCTTATTTCCTCCGCGAGCCGCAGGACCTGCTCATGCTCCCGGGGTATTTTGTCTTCGCTTACTTCCACAGCCTGGTGAAGCTGTATGCGGGGCTGACGTTCTGGAATACGAATTGGGGGGGCAGGGACTTGGACGCTATTAACAGCGCTTCGGGTTCGGCGTCGCCTTCGGGGAGTGTCGCCTCGAGGGATAGGGATACCTCGGGCACGGGGGGCAGTTTGCAGCCGCAGGTACAGCCGAACAGTAGTATTTGTCCCTCTCGTCAGATCCAGACTGAGCTTCAGGCTCACGCTCACGATCACGCTCAGGCATATTCACACATCCCAAGGTTCTCGAATGCAAACGCAGGTACAGGCACTGACATGTACAACGCAGCTGCACCGCAGACTCCAACAAGACAGACCCTGACGCTTACCCGTCCAGCTGCAACCGTCGCAGCGTCGATGGGTCCTCCGCCAGTACCGAGACCGAAACTGGCGAGATTGTCGGTCGGCCTGATTCCTAGTATTGAGAAGGATGATCTGGTAGTGTCGCCGAGTGTGAGGGCTGCACAGAGGAAGGCCGCTAAGAGTAAGACTGTCCCGGGGGGTAGTGGTCATGGTATTGGGAATGGTACTGCTTCTGGTAGTGGTGGTGGTCAGTTGGATGTGCCGGTGAAGAGGGGGAGGGGGAGGCCGAGGAAGAGGGTTTGATTGGTATTTTTTTTTTTTCTTTTCTTTAATTATGTCTATTGTTTTGCTTTGTGGCTTTTTGCTTTATATCAAGGTTGGCCTTGAACCGAGATCCATAATGGAATGAATACCCCGGTGTTGGGGCGTTGGGTCTGCATTTTGAATTCATTTCCATTGCTTTGGTAGGTATCTTCCTCAGTACAGATCACAACTACTAGTAGCACCTAGATTCAAATACCTCCCATTCCTGAGAGTACTCCTCAAATAATCCACCCAAACCCTACACCCCGCCACTATTCAACAAAGCCAGGAAAACCTCTAAACCCTCCCCTGCTTAATACCGGTAGTAGAGAGGACCCGCAGCATCAAACACCAATCCCCAACCCCTCTTCAATCCCCGCCCACCTCAAGACCCTCCCTTGCGCAACCGCAAAGCCCTCCGCAAACTTCTTCGTCCCGGGTCTGGGCTTCCCGAACTCCCTAACCGCATCGACAAGCCAGCTCTTCACGGCCCTCGCATACGCAGAATCCGCACCGAAGACCTTCACCGCGGACTTTTCAAACTCAACCAGATACCCCAGGAACACAGTCCACATGTCTTTCTTTGAGAAGCCGCTTGCTTGGCCCTGAGCCTGGCCCTGAGTCTGCGACTGAGTCCGAGTCTGACCCTGACAATGAGTCCGCGAGTAAACCTCCGACTTCGTATAAAAGGCATCATTCCTCGGCAAGCGCACCAAAACCATCAAGATCCCCACCAGATTAAACAGGTGCTGGACGCCATCAATGCCCCCTGTCGCCGCCACCACACCGTCCCGACCCTGGACGCTCGTCCGGAGGTACAGATACCCGCGCAGCCCGTGGTAGAGGAGTTTCTCGTAGTTCTGGTTCTTCCCCGCGACGAGGGCGAGTGCGGTGTGGATTTTCGCTGCGGGCGGGAGGTGGACGGGCCAGGCGTTCGTGGAGGGGAATGCGGAGCGGATGAATCTGTTGATGGAGTGTTCGGTTGCGCGGAGATCCGGGGCGGACTGGTCGGATTTGTCTTTGTCGGTGAGGATTCTGGTAAGGAAGGTGTGGAGGGCGCGTTGCGCGGTCGTGAGCTTTGTGATTTGGTCGGCGTTGCCGGAGGCGAAGTGGTGGAGGACGCGCAGTTCGGTTATGCAGCGGGGGCCTGAGATGATGATAGATCTGTTAGATTTGATAGTCCTTGCTAGTCAGATTAAAGGGGAGGGAGCGTACAGATGCAGGTGATGAAGTATTCGGATTCCAGAATGCGTAGGCGCGTGGCGACGTGGACGGTGGTGTCGACGTAGGACTGTAGGATCTCGTCTCCGGCGGTAATTTTGCGGAGGGAGCGAAGGCGAAGCTGTCTTCCTTCAAAGATTATCACGGCATTAGGGTTGCAGTCGTGGTTGAGAACCGCGGAGACGAGGTCCAGTGCAGCGCCGAGTCGGCCGCCCTCCTGGGAGCGGATTGGGATGCAGTTCGTGAGAAGCTGGAACATGTCAGCCTGTAGGGATCAGAAAGAGTCTTCATTCTCATACAGTACAGTAGAGCTTCACGACGTCCTGGACACCCAGGCTTGTCTTTGTAATGCTCGCTGCGCCTATGCAGGCTCCCATCGTGATTGAGGCGTCCTCGCGAGCCAGGATGTCGTCGTCGTGTGCTGACAGAGTATCTAGAGACTTCCAGTCTTCGGCGTTGATTAAATCCCCGCTGTGCATGGTTAACAGTCTGTATAGCAGCCGGGTTCTGGAATGCAGCTCTTTGTTCTCTTTCAGCAGTTCGCATTCGCCTCTATGATATTCTTCCCAGGCTTTGCGCTGGCAGACCTGCGAGGGAGAGACGATGTTATTAGCTGACATAGATAATACTGCGGTTGTGTGCCTACCGTAGAGCAGTAATAGCAGACTCTACAGCCACTGCATCTCTGGTGTTCCGTGACAGTGTCCGATGGCATGCGGAATCTGCCTGTGGGGAGAACGGCGCTGGTGGTGTCCAGGAGACAATAATCGCAGACCTCCTCCTGCTTCTCATCCTCCACGCAGGCCACTAGAGGGTTCGATTGGTAGATTTCATGGCCTTCTGCTATATCCTGTGTTGCGAAAAGGCCCATGCCGGCACCGGGGATGGACGACTGGCGTATCTCAAGGGGGACTGCGGAGGTAACCTTCGACAGGAGGTAGTCGTACACTCTGCTTTCTTGGGGATTCATCTTGAACCGCCTTCAGAGATGGGCTGTGTCTGGGTTTTGTGTAAGAGGGAGTTGAAGTGGTGGGAGACCACACTCTCTGGTGTTGGTGTTGGTGTTGACCCTATGGCGCCAAAAGGGGTTAGCGCCATTGTCACCCCAGGCACCTACGTGCTAGGTAGGAGTATATATGAGCTTGTGGCAGCTAGAGTTTCTTGGAATCGAATTGACCGGCGCTCATATTCGTGTCGTATTTCATGATTAATCAACAGGTAAAAGCAGACATGATCTCTCAATCATTCAAGACGGACCGCCAACACAGCTGCGGGCGAAAAAAGGAAGCCCCAGCAACATCTGACAGAACCTGTGGATAGAAGAAGTAGTTGCACACGCTGATTGTACTAGCCTATCTATCTTTCTTTGTCTTGGGATAATCAACTGCATTTTAGTTGATTGACGTGTGACAGCTTTGTATACTCAGGACAGGAATGCAGACGGCACGTGCTCTCTAGTTTATACCAAACATCCCTATTCCTTATTTTCCTAGAACTCTTGCCTAGACACAGCAGCTACCAGGCCAGAATGCCTCTCTGAGAGCTTCTGACATGCGGCGCCTGAATCTTTTATCCAGCCAGAGGTATCTGCAGAAGGCGTGGCTCAAATATCCAGCAGTGAGCTTCATACCACAAGCGACAGCATGCACATAAAAAAAATGCTATATCATTTAAACTCCTACAGCGGTTTCAAACACCGCACCTAAACAATGATTGTGGTTGTTGGACAATAAGTGGCGAGGAAGAAGATGTTAAATGAATATCACGTGCGCGCTAATTGCAGTTGCCGCCGGAAGCACCTGAAGTGGCAGTCCGCCGATTACTAAGGAATTCCGGCCGCCACAGACAAAAGCAACAAATGAAAAAACAAAAAGAAACGCTTCCCCCGAGCCGGAATCGAGCCGGCGACCTTTCGGTTACAATGTTCTATTACAGCCGAACGCCATATCCAACTAGACCATCGGGGGTTTGCTGATATGCGTCGCAAATAATGTGCTACATAAGTAGCCTGCCTGGTTACCATACTATTTTTAAGGGATCGTCGTAGGCAAGATGTCCACAATGCAGATATCTAGAGTGACTGAAGGTGGTCCTCATCTAAAGGCTCCAGCTATACAAGATAGGTATGATATGCTGAAGACCACCTCCATGCTATCGTATCCAACTACTATCCTGGACAGGCATTAGTGGCATGACCGTTAAGTTCAAAATGCCAGGTCCGTGGATATATATCTCCGCCACTATAGATCCATCGAGTAAGATCTGCCACTTCAAAACATCAACCGATCGCCTGACACGAACCCCGCACATCCTTTATAGCCGGACCCTTTTCCCTAGGCAATTGCATTTCCCTTACGCAACCAGACTCCGGGGCAGGGGTTTGCCACCTATCCACCTCCCTATATCTAGGCGAGCCCCTGATTTCCCCTCTCCTGTCGGATATACCCCACAACTCTACTGTATATTGTTCGCTGGCGACAGCTTGGTCTACTATATACTCTTCATATTCCTGGCCCAGGCGACGCGACGCGTGAGACGAAACCGCATTACTATCGAATCGGAACCTTATACACGCGCCTATGAGACAGGTTGCGATATCGCAAAAGCGCTGCGGCCAACTGTTGAATTACGGAATCACCCAAGGGGACCTGGAACATCATCCCGGTCGAATAACAGCGACCTGGTGACGGCATTTGGAACTCAAAACCGCGATATACTTCCGCAGAGGGAGTAACCGGCCGGACTGCGACACCGAATGGCTCGGAATGAACTTGGGGGAAAATTTCGACCTGGGTTAGGGTTTCTGCAGAGGCGTGTGACGTGCAGATTCTGAGGCTGGTGGCTTATATTCCGGACGACTGAGCTGAGGGATTGGGAGCTCTTCCAACCATCTACACAGCACGATCTCGTCCACCGACAGCGTCGAACACGATCTACAGCGTCTCTACACTGTCAACAAACATCCACCACATCGACCACCAAACAACCTACCACCACAATAACAATCTACATAACGGCACACACCATGCAGCCAGTCAACCTCGTCGCCAAAATCCACCGCCAGATCCAAATCCTCCGTCTCCGAAGAGAGCTCCGCAAGCTACCCGGTATCATCGACAAGCCACCGGAAAAGACCACGGCCAAACGGGCGGCGGGCAGCCAGTGCGCGAAGATGCGCACGGTGAAGCCATACTAACTCGACTCGAGCATAACTCGACAACGACAATACCGCCAGATCCGATCCGAACTGACATCTGGCGGCCATATTGACTACATAATGAACATCTACAATATTCTGTCATCCTCCAGACCATCTATCTACTTTCTCAAATACACATCACACCGTCAGACAACCACGTATACGACAAGAAATCACTACAGCCCTCCATTTGAAACTCAATCCATGCATACGCAACCAAATCAACATCCACCCCTAATACCGTCTACTGAGCATTAACCAACCCTGGTCAACTATCTGTCGTCGCTGGATATCGGGACGCATTGGGTTTGTCCGACCCGTAGCCCGTGTACGGCAGAGATCAAAGGTAAATTTGATTCCGTATCTACCGACAGCACCATCCAGTGGACTAACACATCTGTCAGTACCATCTACGATACGAGTATACAATCCTGAAAGGGGTGGAAGATACAACACGCACCGCCCCCCAAATCCGCCCCAATCGCCATCCATATCGACGCCCCCATTCGCAACAAAAGCACCACACCAACTCACCTCCCGCCGCTGCTATCCCCCTCGCAAACAGGTTATGCACCGGCCCTGTCACCGCGAAACTGCTCGTCAAACTACACAGATTCTCGCACACGGCTTCACCCTGAACGATTGCACCGGCTCCAACACGTACGTCACGGCTGTTGCGTCGGTGTCATAACCAAACCAAACCAAACCAAACAAATCATGTCTCTCAACGATAAAATAAACAACTCATGTATATAAACGAAGTCATGCGAAGGAAATGAATGAAGCGGTCAAGCCAACCACCATCAGGCAGGCCCATCAACATCTCACATTCTCATCGTACACGGTAGACGGCTCGCAGTCAGGGTCAGACCTCTTTGTAGTCTTTGACAATACTTAGCTCTAAGGACTCGACTCGGTGACGCGGTCGAGTGTCTCGCGTGTGGCGGGACATAGATGCTTAGTTGATTCTGTAGGAGAAGACAGGTGACCTGGACTGTTGGCTTCTTTGTAAGATAGGAATTAGAAATATTTCTTGGTGGTTATTTCTGGGGATTAAGGGGTTAATGTCTTATTGGACTTGATTGTTATCTAATTGTCCCTGTTACTTTGGTATTGGGGCTTCTTGGATCTACTATATTGTTCCGACGCTACTATAAAAATTACCAGCCGGTACGGTGATATCGCTATGTTGCAGATTAAGTGTACAATATGTAGAGAGGGCTTAAGACACCAGAGTGATGCTTGGTTGATTTCTGCATTTAGGAGAGAAGGTTGTGGTGTGGTAAGTAGACGGTGAAGAAGTGGAGGGCGTTCCATTTCGGTGTTCTACCTTACAAGCATGGCCATACCTCATTGCGGGTTTGGATGTACTGAGTATCTTTGCTTGGCTAGGGTAGATTGTCCCATCTTTCTCTCTCTCTCTCTCTCTCTCTCTCTCTCTCTCTCTCTCTCTCTCTCGCTGTCAGCTAACAGCTCCTAGGTTAGAGGAAGGCATTTTTCCATACTTTATAACGGGCTTACATGCTGGATGCCATCATGTCTCTTGCATATCCTGATTTCGGCTTCAGGGATGCACACAAATGTGCCTTCATGAAGGATAAAATACAGTAAACCAAATAATAAACCCAGGCAGATAACCCCAATCCCCCACGCCGGCTATTGCAATGCCAATCTCAACAACAACCCACATCAGCCGAACCAGATCACAACCCCAAAGATATCCATCCTGCTAGTAGGTCCCGCATCACACAACAAACCGCCCAAACCACGACACATCATCAAACTCCATCAGAACCATCGCAACCTGGATCGAAAACACCCCCTTCACCCGATTAAACCAGTCCGAGACCTCCGGATACACGGGCTTGCGATTCCGCGCCGCAGCGACGGGCGTCACATACTCGGCAATATACGGAAACGCCGCGAGATCCGCAATGGTTCTGCAAGAGTAAAAAAGACAGAGTTAGTCAGAAAAAAACTAGGTAGGTATGATCTGGACAGACATACAGCTTTTCATCCCGGATAAACCCCGCCGACGAGGCGCGGAGCTTCTGCTCTAGATCCCCAAGGAGGATGTCCCACCCTTCCGGGGGCAGACTGGCCAGATGGTCTAAGAAGCGGAGGATGTCGGCCTTGGCCTCAAAGCCGGTACGGGTACCGGCTGTGGAGAGGTCGTTTTTGGTGTCGAATTCCGAGAGGATGTACGTTATCATCTCGCCGTGGCGACGCACGCGGGTGGTTCCGTGCGGTGGTGCATCGATCAGGGTTTCCGGGAGATGGGGTTCGTAGCCTTGTAGTTCTACTTCGTGGGGAATACTGAAGACGGTTAGTAACCATTCTTTCTTTTGATGGATGCTTGGAGGAGACCTACCGTAGAAACCGAAGGAGGATCTCCGCCGTGCTCCCGATCTTGGATCTGGGGGTCGTATAGAGGATAACACGCCGCTGTGGGATGGGACGGGTGGACATGGTGGTGCGTTTTTTTTCTTGCAAGGAAGCACATTTGTACCGATTGTATTTTGTAAAGCAGTTCTGGGTAGTTAGACTGATACTTGGAAGAAGGTGGAAAAGAACAGAGACATCCCCCCGAGGGCCCTGGGTTAAGTAGCAGAGCCTCGGGATGTAGGCTCGGTGCCTTGATCCGTTTTCTAAGTTTTACTATGTATCCATGGGGCCAGGGTCCGGAATACAAGGCCGGCTAGGTAGGCTATGTCATTGAAAGGTTTGATTGGATATTGAAGTTTGTTCGTCAGGTCGGACTCGCACTCCTCGTAGGGCGATTCGCAGGCGGTGATCCTGTAGGCTGGGTATGGTTCTCGCTACTCCCCGAGGGAAACCGGTTGTGCCGTTGGTGTGTGACTATGCTGCTGTTCTTGCTCACTTGGTCTTATGGGGCTGGAAGCTGGTGACGGTGCGAAGGCTGAGCAGTCATAGAGCCCCGTTGGGGAATAAAGCAATGTACTAGCTGTAGGGTCATGGCATGCACAGCATTTCCGGGTTTAAGATCCGAATATCGCCAAACTCTAACGTAATGACTGCTGGGTCCGAGCTAGTCATTAGAAAGCGGACGATATTCCCGACGTAAAGGGTTGATTACCTCCTATGCCAATAATGTAATACCAGCCTATACTTGAAATATAGTCACCAGTCTAAACCGTCATCCCATAATCTCAGCCAGAACAGCAAATAGAACCTGATTATCAACTCGGCAGCCCTCCCACTGGAACCGTGCGCTCCTATATCCGCACCGAAGACGCATGTCAAGGTCCAAAATACTTAGGTTTTTTGTATTGCAGTTCATCACCAGCTCCAGAGCAACGGCGCACACGGTCGTATCTTGGAACTCGTCTTTGGACGCCTCTGTGTTTAGGGAGGTGCTTTCTGACAGATGCTGCTGCGATACAAATAGGGATTGCGAAGACGGTTCCAGCTCGATTGCGGGAGGAATTGGATGGTAGTTGATATCCAGGAAGGAATAATCTTCGAATTTCTCGGCAGACTGGGAGTCGGATTGGTTAAAGTAGAGTTGGGAAATATCTCCCAGGCTTGTGTTCTCTGTTGGCCCTATTCAGTACCCAGAGGCGTCAGATATACTACCAAACAGGTGATGGGATGTAGCGCCCTACCAACAATGAACCCATCTGCTGCAGCAACCAGATCTCTGTGTCCTGGTATATTTTCCGTGTTCACGTTCTCCCTCTGTCTGCAAGACCCGGCTAAAGCGTAGTCAACCCCCAAAGAACCAAGTAAAGCTGCTAGCCTTTCATT